TGGCTGGGAAGCCAGCTCCATGCTCCCTCGTCACCAAGGAGCATGGAGCTGGCTTCCTGGCCAATCGGGAAGCCGGGGGGGGGTTATTTATTACCTCTCCCCCCCCTAGCTTCCTGATTGGCCAGGAAGCCGGCTGCATGCTCCCTCATCAAGTTACATGGGAGCATGGAGCCGGGAAGCCGGGCACTGTGTAATGACTCGCTGCCCAGCTTTCTGATTAATCGGGAAGCTGGCCAATCAGGAAGCCGGGCGGCGAGTCTTTACCTACCCCCCGGGTTCCTGACTGCCTAGAAAGCCAGCTCCATGCTTCCTCATCACCAAGGTATGAGGGAGGATGGAGACGGCTTCCTGGCTAATCATGAAGCTAGGCGGCGAGTCATTACACGCCACCCGGTTTCCTTAATGGGACTTCCAGTATCAGTATTTGGTATTGGCGAGTACTGAAAAAAAAATATCGGTACTTGATACCGAAAAACCAGTATCTGTGCATCCCTAGTAAATATCCCAAAATGGAGGGTGCAGCAGTGACAAGCACTTGGCACCACGTTTGCAAACAAACTGTCAATAAAAGACATTCTTGCATCACCATTGGAGTGCCGGTGACTTTTCCTGATTTTCATTGTTTACTACCAATGACTACAAGTCCCATCTGCCACCATGTCAGATGGGACTTGTAGGGGGCATACCAGCGATCCCTCCGTCCTCACCACTCTGGAGCACTTCCTCCAGCTAGGATGTGAGGCTGGAGGTAAACAATGATGGAACTTGTGCATTGCACCCACAACACGCCGATCATAAAGAAGGTTGAGAAACGTTGGTTTACACTTTAGGTTTGACATTTGCAGAATGGACTGTGAAGGCCGCCTTTGTGACTCCTCCTGTCATCTTCCAGTTTCCTGTTTGTATATTCTAGCAGTGTATTGTAGGTTTTTGTGTTCTCTGGTCATTGAGGAGCCCGAGTCCGTCACCCGAGGTAATATATATATATATGTCAGGTTTATATCTGCATCATCCACACATGCAACACGTTGTTCTGGAATGATTGTAATCCCTTTCTTTCATTCCCGTTTACCAAATTGTCAATGATTTCTGTGTTACGAGCTGCTCATTCAGGGTTTCTGCTTAGACGCTCACGTGTCTGAAGGAAGAACTGTCTGTGTTGCCTCAAG